GAACTTCATCTAACTACACACCAATGAGATCTGAATTACTTGTGACTATGTAGGAAAGTAAACTTTGTAGCTGGGGTGGACAGCTCACTAAAAATGTCAACTCAGTATACAGTCTTCTAGAAAGGAAGATCAGTGATAGAAATCATCACCAAAGGAGCTAGAAATTAAGTTCTCAATATCATATAATGCCTTAATATTAAATTCAAGAATCATGTACAATTCTTGCAGAGACACCCCTCTTGGCCATGAAACAAATTCCAAAATCCATGTTATGGCCATACCTTTATTAGGACAATTTCTGAATAAGCTTCCAATACCTGCAGGTCCCCTCATCTGTTGGAGATGTGACAGTAAGAAGGACAGGGTTAAAATGTACTTCTGGTTTCCATACAGTGGTGCCTTGCATTACGACGTTAATCTGTTCCAGCGAAATCGCTGTAGAAAAACGTCGTAATGTGAAAATAAAAAACCCATAGAAATGCATTTAAACCCATTTAATGCGTTCCATTGGGCTAAAAACTCACCGTCCAGCAAAGATCCTCAATAGAGTGACCATTTTTGGTGGCTGTCTTGCGAGGAAACCGTCCCAGAAAACAGCGGGGAGCCATTTTATTTACCCGGCGGCCATTATGAAACCGCCAATCAGATGTAGGAAAATCGTAGTTTTGCGAAGAATCAGTTCCCAAAGCAGGGAACCGATCATCGCAAAGCGAAAAAAGCCTATTCAGACAATTGTTTTGCGATCGCAAAAGCGATCGCAAAAACATCATCACAATGCAGGGCGATCGTAAAGCAGGGCACGACTGTATTCCAAAAAGATAAAACAACAACAATACTGAACAGAAAACATCAGATTTATCAAGAAGTTTGAACCCATTTCCTACAAGGAAGTACTGAAGTATTGGAGACTTTTAAGTTTACAGTATATTAAATATAGGATATACAATAAGACAGAATGTTATACCTTCTCCTAAAGATGCACCTAACTACTGAAAATTTCCTCAGGAATCCTTTTCTATGTCCTACATTCAGGTGTGCAGAGATTGAGGATAAGACCTTCTCAGCCATGGTATCTCATACCTGGGATACGTTCCTCAGGAAAGCTTGTTTGGCACAATATGATGATTCTTTAGCACCTGGTGATGGTCTTGGTATCTGTCCAGCTCTCAGATCAGTTCTTGCTCTCTTTTCCAATCCACTGCACTGACACTAGCTTCAGTATTTTGTCATTTTTATATAATATTTTGTTCTAATCTACCTGTTTGCCATTTTTAAAGTTGTTGGTCTTAAGCATATGCTGTGAAATTTTCAAACCAACAAATCTGAAAAAATGGAGAGTAATATCTGTGTAAGGAACCAAATCAAGATCCTCTTAGTATAAAGAAGTGAGTTTCTTCTTCTCTACCATTTCAGCAGCATTAAAGAGGCTGGTAACGTATTTAATATTTCTTGGATTTGGCAGGCAGGAGATGTATAATTTCAAGTAAAAACATGGACAAGTCGTCCTATCGTTTTAAGAACTTACTCCAATATTATAAAACAATTTCAAACAAGTTTATGCACAGGAAAATCCAACTGTTTTCAGGAGAGCTTGAGTCTCATGGTGCAGTGATTAAACTGCTGTACTGCAGCCAAACTGTGCTCATAACCACGAGTTCAATCCCAGGTAGCAGGTTCAAGGTTGACTCAGCCTTCTATCCTTCTAAGGATGATAAAATGAGTACCCAGTTCACGGGAGGGGGGCAATATATAGCCTGCATAATTAACTTGTAAACTGCCCAGAGAGTGCTTTAAGTGCTATGGGGTGGTGTATACGCAGCACGCTTTGCTTTTTTGCTTTAAGTGCCTTTAGTCATTCAACCTTGGTGACTGGGAAACTGAGGGAGTTATTGTCCAAAAAAGTTTTTTAAATGGGGATGACACTGAAGACTTCTCTCATCCCACCCCAGTGTAGAGAATGTAAGGACTATATGAACCAATTTGTATTGTTCCATTTATTCACAGAACACAGAACCCTCTTATGCAGGGAAATAACTTTCCCCCCCAAAATGACTGATTACATGTTTAATGCAAGAGAATTCCTTTGCAGAAGCTACAAAACAAAGAAACAAAATATTCTCAAGCCCCAAACTGCCCCTTGAAAATCATCCTCACTGCCATATACAGCTGTATGACAACAATTTTTGGAAGGAACATCAAAGAGTGAAATGAACTAAACCCCCTCCCTACCAAGAAACAAAATTTGTGGCATTTAAAAATGGCTCCTCATCACCATGAAGCAAAGCAAGGAGAATTTTAAATATGTCTGTTGTATGCATGTGCTGGAGCTGCATCATTTTTAGAGCAGGTTGTTCACCAGTAAGCACCTTCGATAGATTAGCCACAGGGTAAGAAGCTGGAAGACTCTATTGGGAGAGTGAAGGAAGAGTGACAGATAACCACAATTATCTCTCTGTGTGACCGCACAACAGATCCCTTCTGAGGTGCACATTGGTAAAGGAATTTGGCTCTCTCACATTCTGAGCTGGTCATAGATTTTTTTTCAGGCATTTTTTGTGAAGCCCCAGTACTAAGCAATGGTCCCTCAGAACTTTCCCTGAAAGGAGTGGTTTGGTTTTCACATGCCTAGATAAATTACAGATCCTTATTTGTAGGACATAGCTCCTGCATAGCTACAGTGGTGCCCTGCATGATGACGATAATCCGTTCCAGCAAAACTGCTGTATAGCGAAATCGTCGTCATGCGAAAAAAACACACCACTGGAATGCATTGAAAACCGGTCAATGTGTTCCAATAAGGGAAACACCTGATCGTCCTGCAAAGACCCTCCATAGGGCATCCATTTTGCGATCCCTGTCTTGCGAAAACAGGTCAGCAAAACAGCGGGGAGCCATTTTGCCAACCGCCGATCAGCTGTTTTTGCTGTCATGAAGAGGAAAAAGGAGAGGGTAGAGCAGGGACCGGGCACAAGGCCAAGCAGGCGCAGAATGCCTCCAACCATTCTTTGCTTGCCTTTCTGGACCGTTCTGAGTTCGATGGAAGCGGTACCGAGCCCCACCTCCCCCTTTTTTTCTGCCTTGCGCCGGCAGGGAGCTAGGTACGAGTGCGCGAGAAGAGGGAGGAGGAGGGGGGTGTCATTTTGTGTGTCAGTGTCAGTTGAAGGCGCAAGCCCATGTTGTTACTGTGGCGGGTGCCCTCCTGCCTCACGCCAAACGTGAGGGGGGAAGTGCCCATTCCTTTCTGTCATTTGTTGGGGGCTGCGGCAGTGGCGGTGGCTCCCGGAGGATCCTCCCGAGCGCGGGCTATGACCTGCCTGCCCAGCTACTTAAGTGGCAGCAGTTCCTGCGCCGCCCTCCGCGCCTTGCTCAAATCTTCGTGGCGACGCCAACCCCCTGCGCTGCCTCAGTGGCGTCTCACTTTAATGCCCAGCCTCTTACATTTGGCCAACGCTGGAAAGCCAGCAGCGCAAACGGGCCCAGTGGCTGGAGACAAGAGCCCCGGAAATTCAAATGGCCTCCTCGCCAGGCTCTGCCTCCAGCCGATGGGTCTGTCCACGCTGCTGGCTCCTGGCTTTCCAGCCGGGCTCCTCGGCTGTTCTCTCAGGAAGCCATTGGGCGCCTTCTCGGAGAAGCAGGAGCAGGTGGAACGAAACTGCCGCTCGGCGCCTCTTCTCATCACAAAGGAGAAGGAGGAGGGGAGGGAGTGCTCCTGTGCTTTCTGCCCGGCCATGCTCCCAGAGAGCAGGGGAAACTCCACATCCAGCGTCAGGCTGGGTGAGAGAGTTCAAGGCAGGAAACTGTCGGGCTCCCTGCCTGAGGATGGGAAACCACCCAGCGCAGGCAAGGCAAGGCGGGCTTGCTGCCTCCCCCTCCTGCCTGTTCCTACTTCCCTCCAATGCCGGTGAGTGAGCTGAGTAAGAAAAGGCTAGTTTTTCATCTCTGAAGGGTGTTGCCACCGCCTGGGATGCTGTGGGTTTTTTTATGATTCTTTCACCGTCCCTGCTGGCTTGCCTGCCTGCCGCTGCCTCCTCTGCCTCTTTGTGGGTTCCCTTTGAGTTCCGCTCGCCTTCTCCCACAGGGCTTAAACTTTGGGACTTGGGGTGGGACAGCTCGGGTCGGCAGCTGGAGTCAGAAGGAAGACAAAAGAGGGGCCTGAGGCAGCTCCTCTTTGCCCGTCATGAGGTGGACCCCTTTTCTCACAGGGCGATGGAGCGGCGCACCGTGGGGTTGTGTCAGGGCTGGGGGGAGAGAGAAAGAAACCCTCTGTGGGAGACTGACAGGGAGTGAGGGCATCTGGGGGTACAGCCGCTCCACTCACTCCTCTCCCACCCCGCCCCAATCAGCTCTGCAAAGCAGGCTGGCAACACCGGGTGCCCCAGCTGATGGAAAATAGGCCAAGTGGAGGGAGAGGGAGGTAGGTGATGACTTCTTCCTGCTGCCAATCACCTTTGCAGCAACAGCCCCCCCACACAGAAAAGTTGTGTGTGTGTGTGTGTGTGTGTGTGTGTGTGTGTGTGTGTGTGTGTGTGTGTGTGTGACCTGATCATCGTACAGTGAAACGATCGCAAAAAAAGTCTTCATCAAGTGATTTTGTCGTCAAGGGGGTAGTCGTAATGCGGGGCACCGCTGTATATTTAAGTTGTGTTTGTGGGGGGGGGAATGCCTTCTACTGTATTTCTTCCATTACCGTCACATATCACTAAGTCAAGGAGTGAACAACAGTTAGCAGTGTAATCTGCAATCCTGGAGAGTAGCAGCTGTGGATTTCATTGTGTAAAACAGTAATAACTATTCTAATTATAGTTCATGGCATGTTTTCCGCAGGTGCCATGTTTTCACTTTCACACAGACCTGTACCTGTCTCTGGAATATGCCTGTTATTTTTAATGGTTTTCTCAGGTTTGTCATTACTTACCGGGACAAGGAAAGCAAAGCTGAGTGCTTTTTTTAAAGTAAAGAAAAACAACAAAAGGGAAAAAAAGAGACCAGGAACTACTCACCGTTTCATCAGTGCAGATGGAGTGCACCTGTGTTCCAAACATTACAGATGTGAAGATGAGAAAGAGGAGCGCCTCAAAGCACAGCAGGATAAGAAGGATCACAGTCGTTGGTGGAGAGAAAGAACTACACTCTGTGAAAATGGAACATTACAGAGCCCTGAGTACTCCATACAGAGAGCTAATATCATACTACCCTGCTCCCTGAAAATAAGCCCTAGTATGATTTTTCAGGATGCTCGTAATATAAGCCCTACCCTGAAAATAAGCCCTAGTTAAATGAAAGCCTGCCCTCCACCATTGTGCAGCAACCAGGGGTGTATGCTTTCAGAGGGTTTGAAGGCTATCTCCCTTGAATCCACCACAGGCTATATCACCTCCTCAAGATCCATGGAACACAGCAACCGTTGTATGGCCCAAGGGTTGCATGTCACCACCCTGTGATGCAATCACACATCATTCCTGTACTTAGGAGAAGTTTCTGAATTCTTCTTAAGAACCTTTTTAGTGGCATCTTCTTTCCCTTTAGTCTGTAGATGGGAAAACTACAGCCTTTTAGATACTATCAGACCAAAACTCCCATCAGCCCTCACCAACACAGTCAAGGGTAAGGAATGCTGGGAGTTGCAGTCCAATAACCTTTCAAAGGTACTTTAGTCTGTAAGCGTAAAATTCACTTACTTGTCCAGTCTTCTTCAAAGCAATGTAGGAAATGGAATCCAACCATAATCAGGGCATGCAGAGAAATCAGTGCTATATACATCTGAAACACAGTACAATTTTGAACAGTTAAAACACATTACTTTCAAAATAGTATATTTCTATGCACAATTCTATTATATATGCAAAATAAAGTGAGGAAGGTTTCTAATTATGCTGTTATCTAAGGGTCCCGTTTGGGAAGACATTGGCCCAGAGACTCGACCAACAGCTTGGGCTCACCATCTAATGCAAGGACTGCGATCAATAGATGGCAGCTTCTGTCTGTTGAAACATAACAGCAAGAAGCATATGTACTAAGCAATGTATTCTTTCTATCTGTTTCCTGGGTTTGAACTGCTCCACATAATAAATTTTGCTATACAGTAGGACCCCTTTATCCTCAGGATTAGTATCCACTGATTTACTTATTTACGGTCTGAAAATGTTAAAGCCATTAAAAGAAAATTTTTCAGTATAAATATATGTATTTTAATGATAAAGTTACTAGAAATGCTTACTAGAGAAAGCCAGAGACCATACTATGCATAGAGTTCAGTATAATCTGCATTTTTTCACATCTGCGAGAGGGCTTTGAACTGATCCCCAGCAGATGCAGGGGCCCTACTGTATCACAAAAGCAGAATAACTTTTAGATCCATTTTGAAATCAAGGAAAGTATATAATTCATTGTCCAAACAGATTTAACAGCAGTAATACTGTACTTCTGCCATGTTTTTCATTTAGTGTTCATGTATTTTCAATATATTTTTCATTTTTGTTACCCCTATTTAACCAAGACACAAGATTGCAGCCAAATTATTCTACACATTGTTTTTTTACAAACAAGTTCCCTTGAACACAATGGAACTGATGTATGAGCAAATATGCAAAGAGTGAGTAGGCATGTAAGCTGGATAACCATGTATTGTAACATCTCCAGTCTATACTACATGATACAGTAGATTGTGTTTCAACTCCAAGCAGTCAGGTATGCACCATTCATCTAACAAGCTTAAAATTAAACAAGTAGTTCTCATTGTCAGCTGTGGTGTCTTCAAAAGAAGAGCCATCCTGAGAGTTTCAGCTGAAGACAATCTTCTAACACACCAAGGTGACATTTCCCTCCTCCAACAGCTTGTCTTTACAGCTACTCCACCCTACTCAAACCTGCAGAAATACTCAAGCACACCCACCCATACACTTAAGAAATGTCAAGGAACTCTGATCTGGGAGTTTAATAATCCTCATATGAGACTGATACTTTTTTAAGCTGGAGCTGACATTCAAAACTCACTACAGATGTTTTTCTAGCCAACATGACTAAAGATTTCTTTATCTTCAAACTCATCTCTAAGTTACCTCAGTCAGAGAATGAATACTGTAGATATATTCAATGGAAAAGTACTTGGAATAAACTTAGTGACTGAACAAGAAGTCTATTTTCCTCCAACAATACTCAATTATGAGATAAAACTGAGGGCAGGGGGATCTATTCTTCCATGAGACATGTTTTATGACATGTAATAAGAACATTTTCTCCTCAAAGTCAAATTAAAGGGCAAAAAATTTGCTGGTTTTTCTGTGTGTATTATGTCCATGATATGGGCAGTTCTTTTATCCTTGCCTTTTCTACTCTGCTGCATAAGTGGAAGCCCTGATGCTGTGCGTGAGAAAATCTCCAGCTTCCATAACCGCAAGGTGAATGTTGTATGGAGTGCTACACCTGCAGATACATTATGCTCAGTGGAAAGAGGGTTCAGCCCAACATCTTTTAGAATACAGCTATTTATAATGTTAGCTAATCATGTCAATTTACTGAAACACAGTTAGCACTGGAAAGGGTCAGAGGCAATCTAGTCTGACTCTCCTGCAAAATGGATAACACCACTGCCAGCCAGATCATTTCTTCTCCAACCTTAAATGAGCAAACAGGCCTGCAAACAGTGGTGCTTAAATGTGGTATAAATATACTGAAAGGATGTGTGTCCAAAGGCCAGATTGCTGGACAATTCTGGCAGAAGTGCCAAACAGCACATGGCTGAACAAGGCAAAGCCAGACATTTCTAGCTGGACATCTCTAACAAAAAAACAAAAAAAAAGTGATTTATTTTTTCTTCTTCTCTTAACTAAATTACCAGGCTACACTGACAGAGGCAGAGCAATATGCCTTGATGTGAAACAAAATCATCAAGCGACAGACAAAGCAGCAAGACTAGAGAACTTTCAAATTATTTTGTGACTTAAATACTTTATTGCTTCATAGCCAATCAGGCTGTACACATAGACAGAAATTAAACTACTCTTAAAAAACAATATTTAGCATCTAATATAAGTATGCATAAACAATCAGAAAAGCTTAAAATAATAAAATAAGCACTCTTAAGCAAGTATCAAGTTGGGAATTTAACTTGAAGAGCTTGTGAAGCAGGCAATGAGTTCTGTTTTTCTATGGCTTGTTTAAAATATTTAGCAGCCCTGTAAGATATACAGTAGTTGTGCCAGCTAGCAGAAATAAAACATGAGGAAATTTTTCTTGATCCTGATTGTTAAGGGTTTAAGATATTGATCTCTCAAATCTGCATACAGAAGGCATTCTGCTAGAAAACATACCATCTCCTCCATCTTACAGCATCCTGCTGGGCAATATCTGCCTGTACCATGTTGGTCTGTATAACATCCCTGAATCTCTTTCAACTGCAGTGAGTTCAATATGTATTTAGTTAACAGTTGTCTCAGCTCATGGAGCTAATAAGGGACAAATATGGGGGCACCTTTCCGAAAGGCAGGGAAAAGCCTTTAAATATCCTATTGGGGTGGCAGCTAACTACAAATGCTGCCACTGGATTAATATTCAGATGGTAGTCTGAATATTAATATCATATAACCTTTTAATAATGTCTTGAAGAAAGTAAATATTAAGTAAGCACACTTGGATGACTTCACTTATTCTTCAACTACTGCCTCAAATATTTTCTAATTTGAATAAGTTGTTAGTTTTCCCAAGGGAATTACATTGCAATGGTTTAAAGAAGTAAACCAAAGAAGTTGGGCAAGTCCTACTTGAAGTTCCAAGGTCCCTGTTTAAACTACTCTATAAAAATATTTCACCCAGAGAACTACTTACTGTAAACAGTACAAAGTACTTTTGGTTATTCTCTCCTACACAGTTGTTAACCCATGGACAGTGGTGATCCATTTTCCGTATACATCTTTTACAAACACTACAAGAAGAAAAAGCACATATTAAGTCAAAATGGAATTCTACCCACTTCCCAAATGCAGTCTTCTACAGTTACCCGATCATGAGGAAAATGTTTCCTCTTCACCAAAAGATATTTAATCTTTCAAGTTAATTGAACTGTGGGCATATTGCACAAGATCATTAAGTAAAGAAATATCAGTTAGATATTTGGAACAATATCAACAAGTGATAACCCGGTTGCAGTTCTTCAACTGAGACACTCAAGTTTTCAGCACTTGTTTTGAGTATATCTCATCACAGACATCTATACTGATTCCTCTTTATTTTCATTCAAAATTAAGTTCAGCAACATGCAAAAGCAGCACAAAAGGCAACAGAAAGCATTATAGCACCATAAAGATTACCAAATTCTATATGGACTAAGCCTTCAACCTACTGCAACAATGTGAAAACATATCTAAAAAGAATAGGCACTGCAAGTTGATTTCATCTTATTTTTGCTCCTGTATGATATATGTATCTGGCTCCAAATCAAAACATGGATCACTGCTTCAGACAGACAGATCTCCACTTCTTCCTTGTTGTTGTTTTTTTAAGTACACGGGCCTGCTTGTCTACCTAGTCAAGTATCTTTCAACAATATTTCTCCCTCTCCCTCTTTTGTACATTTAAAAATGACTCTGAAAACTGATCTGTGTGATGTTTTTGTGACTAACACAGTGGATAAACAATCAGTTTTGTGCACAACTCTGCTCCTTATAGTTGATAAACGTTGGGCCCTATAAATACTCTATGAGTTTGGCTTCTGCATGAATAAGTTTCCTTCTGAGCCTGGCAAAACAATAGGATGTGTCAGACATGCAGAGAATATATTCCCAAACAGGACTCACATAAAATAAACTATATCTGTATGTAGTGAAATAATATACTGGATATAAAAACAATTATGTGCTGTCAAATCTGACTTATGGCACTCCTTTTTCAGGGTTTTCTAAGTAGAGAGTACCCAAAAGCGGTTCACCAGTCCCTTCTTCTGGGGGAATCCTGGGACTGTACAGTTTACCCAAGGCCACATAGGCGGGCTCTACTGCCCAGTGGAGAATTTAACTCCCAATCTCTGGCTCTGCAAGCAGATATATAAACCTGTACTCAAAACCTTTGCTCCCATCCTGTGCCACGATATATATAAGCAAGGTAAAAAAAAAAACAGCACAAGAATAAAAGCACAAGAGGTGCCACATACGGTCTGATCCTGCTTTCAAGAACATATGGCACTCCTAACGCCCAACCAATCATTCTCAGCCCCAACATGTACAGAGCAGAGATGGGAAGTCTATCCTGAGCTTGATGAAAACCACTATTCCTATGCTGCTAGCAATGCCTTGGGACTCTATGGCCTTACAGAAGGCAGCACATGGATTACAGTTACCCATATATGGCAGTCAATGTTCCCTCTAAGGTGAGTGCAGGCATGGGCGCGCAGAGCTCCATCATTGCTGTGCAGTGGCAGCTGGAGTTGATGACTGCTAACTTCAGATGAAATCCCGCCTCCCCATGCAGATGGGCAAGGCTCTCATGCAGCAGGGATGACAATTAGAGGGAACGTTGATGGCAGTGGATCTCAATCTTGGGTCCCCATATGTCCTGGCCAAGAAAGCTAATGGTAAAGGTTTCAGGGAACTTTAATCTAAGAATATCTGGGGACCCAAAATTAGGAACCACTGATAGATGGTATAGATGTGTATACACACACTCTTTTCCTTGCAGATGGTGACACCTGATGTATGGACAAAAAGGATGGGGCCAGTGATGATATAAAACCTTGGGGGAATGGTCAGAAACACACAACACCATTTTATATGTGAATAATTTATTCACAATGCCAGTTATAGAGAACTGCTGATATTTTCATAACTGGCAAAAAATATCCATCTACTTGTTATGTTATATGCCATCAGGTCAGAACCGCTAACAGGCTTTCAAAGTAAGTGAGATATTTAAGTAACATATTTAAGTTACCAGTTCTGCACCCCCAATGAGTTTCTATGGCTAAGCAGACATTTGAACCTAGGTCTCCTGAGTCGTAGTTCATCACTCTATCCACTACACCATACTGGGTATACATCCATCTACTAGGCTGCCATAAACATAAGTATCAAGTCACAGAAAAAATAATACACTTGTAATGTACATAAATAAATGATAATAATAATAGTACCTGCAGTGGTGTGCTCTGTCTGGCTTGATACTACAGCACTTTGGACATTTGTAAACCACCTGCCCTGGCTTCAGCTGTAAACTTTCTATGAACTCTTTTGTAGCATTACCTTTAGGCACTGCACCCTAGAATTGAAAATAAAGAATTTCAGAGCATTTTCAGTCATCATCAGAAGAAACAGGAGGCCTCACAACAGGACTATTATGGATGTAGGAACAGGGAAATCTCCTAGACACAGAAATTAATTGACTTGTGTTATAAACTCATATCAAACCCTTACCTGTCTCAGGTTTTCAGAGAATGAAAACATGTATATAATTTCTCATTACTTAAACAATAATGGCAGGTGAGCATACAGGAGAAAAGGGGATAAAAAGGTTCACTGTAAATATTCCAAATGTCATAAGAAAGAAGTGAGTTTGAACTACAGGCATAGAGTATCAGGTTAAACTGTATTAAAGGATTACTAGCTATAAGCACCAGTACATTTAAAGTAGCATGCGTGGAGCAAAAGTCGGCAGTTTCCTTCTTTGAAAATTCACCTAGTTCTTTAACATCAGTATTAATTTATTGGGATTTAAGTAGTTTTATGGCTTTATACCATAGTCTTACTCTCATCCTGCAGATGTTTTGAACTCATCCACCAAAGCCTGTACGGCCACTCATCATGCTAGCTGGGAATGAAATTTCCAGAAGACTGTGTTAATATATCCATAAAATGGATTTTCAGATTGTTATATGCTGCCATTTCACAATTAGATCAACTCAGATATAACTCATAATCCTGACAGAGACTGCAAAACATGCAAAACAGGCCTCCGAAAACATAACATCTGGTTGATGTGACATAACTCTATAAACCATTTTACCATTATTTATAGATATGCACCTTGTATTTGAATAAAGAAACATGAATGCATCTTTGGCTAAATGAACTACTGGATAACTGAAGAAGCCATAACAGGGATGTGTTGAAATGATTTTTGGCAATGTTGGTGCTTGTTGAGCACTTCAACCATGCAAACATAGGATTCATTCAGTCACTTTAAACTGTGGTCTAACTAAACTCAATATCCTTTCAGGGAAACTCTCAAATTTAAACAAATCTGGAGCTAAAAAATCAGATTATATTTTCACTTGATTCTGGCAAGCCTTTACCCACCATTTCTATATGGTAAATGGAGTGAAACTATTATCAGGCACCAGATTTGAATTATGCCATTGTAACTCTTCAAAACAAGAAGAGCCGTAATGATGTGGTTGCAACTTTCACAGTCAAATAAGAAGCATTTCGCTGCTGATATAAAGCCACATTCAGGCAGCTGTGACAGGCCAAGAGCCAAGTCAGATGCTTCCAGTTCTTCCATAAAGAATGTTTCATGGATACAGTTAGACAAAGGAAGTATTAACAAACCAGGAATATACACACAGTAACATGTACCACTTTCCCAGCAGTGAATTACATAAGTGAATTACATATTTTCTCATGTAGAGATATACATTGCCATGCATCTCTACCAGCAAGCTCTACTTTTAACCATATGTTTTCTCAGTCACTTTAAGCTATGGTCTAAGCCGAATATAATTTCAGGGAAACCCTCAAATTTAAATACATACACTTACTCAAGAGTGTTTTTGATTTAAATCAAATTGATTTAAATAAAGATTTAAATTTTTTAAATGATATTGAACAATTTAAATAAATTGACAATTAAAAGTTGATATTTTCGATTTAAGTCAATTTGATTAAAAAAACACTGATTTTTATACACCCTCACTACCAAAGAATTGATCCTTTTACTGTAAGAGAATCAACTGAAGTTTGAAACAACGGAAGTTAAGGCAGGAACAGGGAACATCTGGCCTTACAGATGCTGCTGGACTACAATTCTCATCAGCTCTAGACATCAGAGTCAACAGTGAGGGTTGATAGTAGGTGCTGACCAAAAGCATCTGGATGCATATTCTCCATCCTTGAGTTAGTGGGACACATCTTATAACTTGATATCAGTTATAATTCCAAAGGTTGGGACAACAGAAGCATTTCCAACACTTCAAAGACTGGAGGAATTGAAATGTTCCAACCAACTTCACTGAGCTGGGTTATTCCCCTTAATTCCTTTTTAATTATTTGTTACAAATTGGCACGGTCAGCCTTATAGATAATATGATTTGGAGGGCCTTCCACTTTGTTTTAAGTATGTACAGTTGTGTTCAAAATTATTCAACCCCCAATGCTGTAAAGGGGTTTAGGGACTATAGTGTACATTTGGAATTGTATTCAGAATGAAATCCTACAAGGACGTTTTAAAGAACCAAATGCAACTAAAATAACATCAATTGTTTATGTAATACAGTAGTAAATGTTTCTTTTGTGGTTTCTTCATTGCCACAATTATTCAACCCCTTAAAGACTACCACTCTGAAGAAGAGAGGTTCATTCAGGTGTTTTCGATCAGGTATTGAAAACACCTGTGGATGTCACCGAGCACCAATCAAGCATAATAAGCACCAATTAGGCAGCTTTAAAATGACTGTGATACTCAGCTCCTTCTAGACATTTACTGGTGTGGTTACAAACATGGTGAAGTCAAGAGAATGGTCCAGGAAGACAAGAGAAGAGGTGATTTGTCTTCACAGGAAGGGCAATGGCTATAAGAAGATTGCAAAGAAGTTAAACATACCAAGAGACACCATAGGAAGCATCATTCGCAAATTCAAGGCAAAGGGCACTGTTGAAATGCTACCTGGTCATGGAAGAAAGAAGATGCTGACTTCGACTGCTGTGCGCTACCTAAAGCTTAGAGTGGTGAAAAGTCCCCGTCCTTGCTGTCTCCCAGGAATAAGAAGAGTCGACTGCAGTATGTCAAAAGTCATGTGGGCAAACCACAAAAGTTGTGGGATAGTGTTCTGTGGACTGATGAAACAAAATTAGAACTGTTTGGGCCCATGGATCAACGCTATGTTTGGAGGAGGAAGAACAAGGCATATGACGAAAAGGATACCTTGCCTACTGTGAAGCATGGCGGAGGGTCAATAATGCTTTGGGGCTGTTTTGCTTCTGCAGGTACAGGGAAGCTTCTGCGTGTACAAGGTACCATGAATTTTCTTCAGTACCAGGAGATATTGGATGAAAATGTGATGCAGTCCGTCACACACCTGAGGCTTGGGAGACGTTGGACCTTTCAACAGGACAATGATCCCAAGCATACCTCCAAGTCCACTAGAGCATGGTTGCAGAGGAAAGGCTGGAACATTTTGGAGTGGCCATCGCAGTCACCAGACTTAAATCCGATTGAGAACCTCTGGTGGGACTTAAAGAAAGCAGTTGCAGTGCGCAAGCCTAAGAATTTGACTGAACTGGAGGCTTTTGCCCATGAAGAATGGGCGAAGATACCCGTAGATCGCTGCAAGACACTTGTGTCAAGCTATGCTTCACGTTTAAAAGCTGTTATAACTGTAAAAGGATGTTGTACTAAGTACTAAGATTGAATGTCACTTGGGGGTTGAATAAAAACTAATAATGATGTGAGCACAGAAAAGACATTTGTGGTTATTTCATTATAAACTTAAGGTTATATTTCTCTGACCTACAAGTGCCTCTTTCATGTAAATGTAAGCAAGATGACTGAATGATCAAAATCAATGTCAAAATGGCCAAAACATTCAATTTCAGTGGGGGTTGAATAATTTTGAACACAACTGTAACTCAAGACTGACATAAACAAAATGGAGAGTACTTGTTCAGAGTTTAAATCTATGCCTTCCCACCTCAAAAACCCTGTGGCTTGAAACTAGACCTTTAAAAGTCAAGGTCCACGATTAAAATTAAAATGCACTCACACAAAAGTGAATGTAAAACATGGCACAAGACAGGTCAGGACTAATATCCAGCACAAAATAAAAACGGGCAAGTGTGTTTCAATCAAAGAACAACTTCACTGCAATGATGCTTCCCTGAAGAGACAAACACACAAGACAGGTTTTTCTAGCTTTTCTGTTTTTCTTGCCATGGCTCGCCATTCATACAGCCTGTCCTACTGAAGATGGAGGAGAGATAAGTATCCCTCCTTCACTTTTCCCTGCTTACAAAACTGCTCCTGTGTGCTGCCTTAAGGCCCGCATACAGCTTCCTAACTGAAAACTGCACTGCAATACACAATTTAACGAATAATAAAAGCAACTATGCTTTAAACATAGTAAGGAAGAAACCCTGCAATTAGATTTGGTTCAAAACAAACAAACAAACCCAGAAGAAACGATAGCAGATTAATACATAACACTTACTGGATCTGTTAGCATAGCTCGCATATGTGAAGCCAGAGCCAGGAATGCCAGCCCGTTGAAAACTATTCCATTGATCACACTGTAAATATAGTCTCTTGATGGAAGCAGCATAACAAGAATGACTACAAAGTCAGCATAGAAGACCAGAAACCAGGTAATGACTGCACAGGCAATACCACAGCCATCTCGAATAAACCACATTGTTCCTGAAGAATCACTGCTGGGAGGTGGGACACACTTGTCTGGCTGAAGATACTCTGGTTTCCTCTCAATATCTCGGAAGCGGTGAATTGGAGTAATCATCATAGGTTATAATGTCCATTCTCGGATCTGGAAAAACATGGTTTACAAAAAATGGGTCTCCATTTTACAAACACAGTCAAGGACTTCCCCCTTTTGACATGCAGCTCATGGAGGAAACTGTAGAAAAGGGAAAATAAAATAAAAGGACTGGAAATGGTAAATGGAGGGGACCAGTAAACAAACACAAGAACAAAAGTTAGCATTGACTGGTCTTGTATTATGTAGGCTTCCCACCCAAACCAGATTTTGGCAATTGTATTAAGGTTAACATCACAATACACACAAAAAAGTGTCTTCAACTATCACTAAATTTCTGAGTGAATGAAAAAAATAACTTCAAATTTCAGTACTACATGGGCATTAAAAGGGAAATTGAGGAATTACACGAACTCTTACTACTCCACTAACACAGCCTAGAAGGGCTAGTAATTCCCACACATACAACCCATAAGAAAATGGTTATGTTCCATATACCAGCGGTCCCCAAACTTTTTCGGACGGTGGACCAGTTGGGGGGTGCGGGCTCTGTGCGTGGGTGGGAATGGGCACCCCTGTGCTCGTAGCTGTGCATGTCATGCTCATGGGTTGCGCTTGTGGGGTGGGCGTGTCGCGCTTGAGCACACGCCCGCAAGAGCAACACGCCCACCCGCGAGTGTGACATGCCCAACTGTGAGTGCGACATGCCCACCCCGCGAGTGTGACACACTCCTCCACAAGCATGACACACCCACTCGCAAGCGTGACACGCCCATCGTGCATGTGTGCAGGGGGGCAGAGATCCATGTTTGCAGCCCAGTTCAAGGAAGTGCACGGACCGGCACCAGGCTGCGGACCAAGGGCTGGGGACCCCTGCCCTATACAAAGGGCAAATACTGAAGTTTTCACATGTACTCTCATATATAGTTGTGACTGGGTTCTTTTGAAAGTGGTGACAGTTCCTCAGATTTGGCAGGAAGAAGAGGCTGAGACCGATTTAAACTACTTTCAACTTCAACTTTATTCACATGCAGGGTATCAACTATTATGCCAACTGGGTCGGAACAAGATAAATCAGGCAACTGTCCATGACTTGTCAATGTTAACTTTTCAACCAAAGACGATCCATTCATTGTGGTGCTGGACCAAACTGCTCGCGATCGATAATCCTGCGCAGGGGTGCACTCCTCATCACACAAACCGTTCCACAACATGGGTGACATGCCCAGTCTCCCTCTTTCGGCAGTGTGTTCTAGATGGGATCAGGGCATATCACTTTTTTCTCCTGTCCTTGCCCTCGCAGAAAGACTATCATGGTCCATTCTTGCATCTCATAAACTGTTTCTCCTTTTGGAATCTCTGGATTTAGTAGTAAGCCTCCTACTTTTAAATTAGGAAAGTCCTTAAATAGGTCCCGCGCTTTTTCATACTTTTGGTCACATTTTTCTTTCTCTACTGCTAACTTGCTCTCTTGATTCTCCTTTTCCAGTCTCTTCCTGAACCTCCTTTCTCCCCTCTCTTTTATACCTTGCTCCCACAGAGTTTTAAATCCTGCCCTTTTCTTCCTTCGCCCTGATCCACCAAACCAACCTCTATGCTCTTCTTCTCCCCTACAAACATTCCTGTCATTCCTCCTATGTCTCCCTTATTAGTATCTTTCCCTTCCTTTGGTGGTCTTGCCTCTGGTTCTCCTTCACAATAGTACATGTGTATATCCTATGAAGCAAGTTTACAATGCTGAGATTATATAATTTTTAAGGTATATTAAAGCAATAATTCTGACTTCACTAGAAATTCATGGCTTCATTGGCAATTTAAGCATTGTACCTCAAAGTGATCTGTTAAGTAGTTTAAAAGTCCAAGGTATCCAGCTTAAGCACTGGTTACTGCAAGGTGAACTGTGTTATACATTTACACAATTTCAAGGTAGGAAGATGCTGTTAGAACTTTTATTTTAAGCTGGAATTTGTTGATTTGGGGTTTTTATTTTCAACAAAACTATTGAATGTATTAGATTTCTGAAATATATGGTGTATATAAAGGTCCAAGTATCTGAATAAATGGAACACCAGTTTCAGTACTGATTAGAAACAGTGACCAGAATCCTATTGCCAATTTGAATTGTGTAAGGGAACTTACATAAGCTTTGTTGGCAAATTGCCACCCATTAAATAACACTATGATTTAACCATTTTAAAGGTGCATGGTCGGTGACCAACGTGAAAGGAGCACCTAAAAGATAATATCTTAATGCCTGTATGGCCCATTTAGCTGCCAGTGCTTCTTTTTCTATGGTGGCATATCTTTGTTCCCGTGGGGTTAGCTTTTTACTTAGATACATTACGGGATACTCTACTCATTTTTCTTGAGACAACACAGCACCTATCCCTCTATCCGAAGTGCTTGTTTGTATAATAAAAGGCAAATTGGAATCTGGGGCATACCTGCTAGGCAAGTCATTTAGTATTTTTTTTAAAATGTTCAAATGCTTTTTGTTCTTTAAGCCCCCAGGTTACCTTATTAGTCATTCACTTTTTAGTTAAATTTGTGAGTGGGGCTGCTATTTCCATGAAATTGGGGACAAAATGCCAATAATATCCAGTGAATCCTAAGAATTGTTGGACCTGCTTTTTACTTTTTGGTGGAGACCATTCTGATATCTTTTCTACCCCGTCTGACACCAGTTGGATTTTCCCTTGTTCTACTTGGAAACCTAAGAATTTTACTCCTTTCCTCGCTATCTTATATTTGGAGGGATTACCTTTGAGTCTTGCCTTCCTTCCTTCGATTAATACCTTTCCCAAATGTTCTACATGTTCTTCCCAACTATTACTATAAATCAGAATGGCGTCAATGTAGGCTCCCGAGAAAGCTCTCACTGGCTCTAAAACTCTATCCATTAACATCTGAAAGGTGGCTGCTGCTCCATGTAACCCAAATGGTATTTTTGTAAAATGGAACAGTCCTTTGGGAGTGAGAAAAGCAGTCTTTTTTTTATCAGCAACCTTTAACGGAATTTGCCAATAACCTTTGGTAAGATCTGGAAATGATAGGTACTCAGCTACCGCCCAACCGTAATAACAAAACTTCTATTTTGGGCATGGGGTATTCATCAAACTTAGACATTCAACTTCCTAAAGTCTACACAATCATATACTTCCATCAGATTTGGGTACTACCACAGGGTAACTCCTCCATGGACCATAAGAGGGTTCTATCACACTTAAGGACAACATCTCCTCAACTTCTCTGTTTATCATTTCTTTCAAATGATGTGGCATCTTGGAATTCCCTTTCAAGCTCTTTAACTTGTTTCCTTTGATCTGATTCTAACTCTTCTCCAAAAGCAATTCCTTGGCTGTCCTGTAAACAGACTAAAGCTCCAGGCCCAAAATTTTCCTCTCCTGTTTCTCCCCACAACGCTTCCCTTTCTCTCCATTCTTTCAACAGGTTGACATGAAAAATCCCTCTTTTTCTTTCTATCTGGCTCCTACTCGTCTAAGAATCTCATATGGACTTTGCCATCTAGCAAACAATTTAGCGTTTTCAGCTGGTAAAAGTACTTTCTGTCCCAGTTCAAATTGTCTAGGGTTGACTCTTAGATCATATAGTCTCTTTTGTCCTGGCTGTACTTTTTGTAATTGCGTCTTGGCCATCTCTGCCACCCTATTTAAGTGTTCCCTCATCTCAATCACTTGTTGTACTACTATCTGGGCTTCATCATTCCCCCTTTCCCACTTCTCTTTCACCAAGTCTAAGATCCCTCTAGGGTTCCACCCATACATCATTTTGAAGGGAGAAAAACCAGTAGAGGCTTGTGGTACCTCTCTAATAGCGAACATCAAAGGAGCTATTAACAAATGCCATCTTTGAGGTTTCTCTAACACTAGTTTCCTCAACATCCCTTTCAATGTATTGTTAAAGCTTTCTACTAACCCATTGGTTTGAGAGTGATAAACCGCAGTGTGCACTGATTTTACTTCTCGTAGAAGCCACATCTCTCTAAACCAGACCTGGGCAAAGTGCGGCCCAAGGGCCACATATGGCCCACGAGCTGCTCCTGTCTGGCCTGTCAGTCGTTGCTCCAGTCCGGTGTTCAAGCACAAGACAGACTGGATTTCTCTCACTGAACAAGTTGAACATCCAAACCATTTATAGCTTTTTTTCTAAAGTTGAGCAGTTGCTTATCTTTTATTTTTAAGTAAAGTTGGTTTGGCCCCCCAACAGTTCAGATTTTTCATGTGCCCCCCTATAGAAATTAATTGCCCACCCCTGCTCTAAACGTTTGACTCATAAAGTTTGTGCCTTTATCAGCTAAGACTCCTCAGGAAAACCTAGTCTTGAGAATAGTTCCATTAACTCTCGCTAAGACCTTTGCAGTAGTAGATCTTAAAGGAATAGCTTCTGGGTATCTGGTAGCATAATCTACTATGACCAATATGTGAGTGTCTACCCCTTTTGATTTCATCAAAAGACCAATATCTATTCCAGTTCGTTCAAAAAGATGGTCTACTAGAGACATTGGTATCAAGGGGGCCCTGGGTCTAGTTTTCATCTGAGTTATTTGGCACTCATGGCAGGTTTTACAATACTCCTCCACTTCTTTACCCACACCTGGCCACCAAAACCGTTCTGTTATTCTTGGGATCATTTTATGGGTGGACAAGTGTCCTGCCATTGGGTACATCATAAACTAATTTCAAAATTGTCAGAGTATTGAAAATTTTATAGGCCTGAACAGGTCCAGACTGTAATATTAATGAACTGCCATGATGTTCACCTGTGCAAGTGCTGAGTCACAGTCACTATGAAGAAGATGATGCAACATCTGTGGATGATGCAACACACATGTAAAGAAAGATGATGCAACACATGAAGTGATTGGACAGAAGCATCAGTTCAACTGTATATAAGTGAACATTGTGAACACGAATGTATCTCCTTCTCCCTTCTCTATGCTACTATCCTCTATGCACTTTGCCTCTATTTTTGCTGCCACGCCGAAGGTGTGCTACTTTATATATTTATATATATATTGTTAATACACATGT